GGAAGGATATCGGCCCTCGGTCTTTTTTGTATGGACCTTGCTGCGCTCGGTCCGTACTGTCAAGACCTCGGACCGATATTCTCCCAGTATGGCCCTCGCGCTTGGTTAATAAGATATATATATATATTAAATCCTTTACGAACTATGCATGTTCGGTTAAGATGGCTTCAGAAGCAATTTCGCGCCACTCATTGCGGATCATTTCGTTCCTCTTCTTATAAGAATTTCTCTCAGAGCTAGACTACAAGCAGTCTCTCCTTTTCGACGAGGTCCGTCGCGCGAGTAAAAAAAATCGTTGAATAAGATGCTAATGTTGGCGCACCGCGGGAACCTCTGTTCGATAAGATATGAGCATGCGGAGTAACAAATTCTTGTGCTAATGGCAAAAAGTGTAATTGTTACAATAGCGATGGTGGCTGGAGAGAAGACAGCAGTCAGTTGACAAACAAATGTGCTTTGCCTGTGACACAAATTAAATCAGACTCGCAGACTTGAATGATTCACAAGAAGAAGGATATTATACATCAGGAAAACTCAAGTGTTACGGTGTGGCATAAGGACACATTGTGCTAAAGTTACACAGAAGCTGTTGACCGAACAATGGAGCAAACGTAATTGTCGGAAAAAAATTCGTTGATTACTATTGAAATTGAATATTAAGTAGAAAAACACATGACTATGTCCCAACATGAACCTTGTAACGTACAGGAATAGCCACGATATTTCGCAATCCGTGATCGAAGTCCGTAGTGTGTTTACTGAACCAAATAAGGAGAAAGAACGTGATATTTTGTAATAATAGCTTAATTTAGGTGCGTTACATCATTGTGAACTCGTACACGTGATTCTTGGAAAATTACTGCCTCGTGTGGCTGAAAACGTCTGTAAACGTCGTAATTACTAAAACAAGGAATGACCTAAAACCATCTACAACCACCTACAACCACCTACAATCATCTAAAACCACCTAAAACCACCTACAACATACATACATTACTACATTATTACATACAGAGAGAGACTGGGTACAAGAACAGAAGAACCTTCTATATCTGAAAGGTTAATTGAAAGAAGTGGTGTATTCCTATCCTGAAAGAATTCTAAGATTCTATATCTCGCAGATACCGGTATTTTTTATCCCAATTTTTGTAGCTCATAGTGCCGCCTTGAAGAGGAAAATAAGCATCAACTGTGAAACTGTCAAAATTCCAAGTTATATCTGATATCAATTTAAGTAAATGGTGTTACTTTGAGCATGGGGATACCCAAATGACTATGAGTCCCACTATTACAAAAGCAAAATCTTAAGCTGACCAGGGAAGTAGGAAATGATGAAACTTTGATTTTAAAAAAAATTATGAAACGTGACCAGTGCAAGTTGATACCGATGAAGCAAGGTCAATAGAGGGTAAGAACAACCGTGACATACCTTCACGCTTTCTCGCTGTGATTGTATGTACGTGTGTTGGCCCTTGAAGAAGTAATTTTCATGCTCTACAGGCTTACGACAGTTTTGATGTCCGTTCCATGTTATGGAGAAATCAAAGACAAAACCAGCTTCTAACTCTCTGATGTTTTCATCATTATTTCTCTCCGTTGTTTGCTTAGCGGGACTGATTCACGTCGAGATCGAGCTTCACGCTCACCGACAAATGCTTCAAGTCATGAATCAACCAAATGAAGAGAAACTTGCGCTGAAGAACGCAGCATATGTCGAAAGGACAAATGAGAGGAATATGTTACACCCTAACTCATACAAAGGTGGGTTTCAGCAGAAAAAAGTTTTAGAAGCAGCAGACCGACATATCCTTGTCATAAAATAAATCTTTAACTAGGACTTATTGAAGCTGCCGAGTAACGTTAAAAAGATTGAAAAGCTTATCTACAATTTTGAATGTCCTCATCTGAAATTTGTTTAAATATTCTCTACGTCTCCTCGTTCTGTCATAATATCTCCTAATTTACAAGAGAGGGGTTCTTAAGGATTAAGAAAATTCTTCATACAATGCTACAATTTCTCATGAGAAAGAAGCAACTCTAGCTATTGAAGCCCATGGTGTCATGCATAGTTCTTGATGATAAGAAACATCGCCGGGGTTTTCCCATCTTTTTATGGCTGCATTCATTCCCATTTCAAAGGACATATAGCTGAAAATTACACCAGTGAGTAATATGAGAAAAGTTCACATTTTTTATAACAGTAAATTAAAATTTTCGGTCAGAAACATTACTTTACACGACAAGCTTTATACGAGTTTGAATTTCTTGACCCCTACCGATTTTGCACTATTGGATAGCGCAAAGTCAGGAGGGGGTCTAGTTTTTCTTCACGTAGCATCTCTGCGGGGCAAAAATTTAATGAAGGATTTTCACAAGAAACGTGTTAAGAAATAAGGTTCGGCACATGGCTATCTATCAACAGAGTTAATTTGACACGTCAATCTAGACAGCATTACGAGGTAAGTATCAAGTGCGCTCTGCGCATTACAAAATATAGAAAATGCATCTTCTCAATATAAACAAAAATTACGAAACAGACGCCCGTATTGAAGTGTGCGTCGTTTCCTTTGTGTTGAGCCAAGCAGGAGCACTTTTAGTAAAGAAAACTTTGAGAAAAAAATAAGAATTATACGGTACGAACCTTAGAGAGAATTATTGGTACGAACATATGAGTTCTCTAAGCCATTAATCAATCGATCGATGATACGGCGCGCGATAGTTGCTGTTCTTATCGGAGTAGGAAAACAGTAACTTTGACACTTTGCAGAGCGTTTTGTTTCGTGGTTCCTGCTTCTACATTCAATAGTTACCTAAAGCCAGCTGAAAGATGCTGCAAATTAACATGCGAGAGGGTCAATGTGGCGAAAAAAAAGTTAATATGAAATTTTTTCACCCAGCCGTTCCTAAACTGAGAAAAAAAAAAATTATAATAATATTTTCCAAAACTGGCCTCTTGGCTGGATTGAGGTGCACTGCATCCTGAAGTATTTCAGATAAGGCTTCCACCTTTTTTCTCCTTCATCGACGCGCTTCTGAATAAGGACCTCTGCCTCTGTATTTATTCGCCTGCGGCGACCTGCGATCCTAGCTTACTTCTTTCTTTGTTTTATTAATGCACTCCATGAAGCATTAAGAACTTCAGCCTTTCAGCATTAACGACAAGAAAAAAAACTTTCACTGAGGCCAACAAATTTGATTTCCTTTTGGTTTTCCAAACGAGCACGTTCAATCTCAAAATCAAAAGATGTTCAGTGCATATACCTTTGGGTTTGAGATCAAAGCATCGATGAAATGTAAAGGACTCAGTTGCTAAATGAATCTACTTAAAAGACAATGTGTTTGGCTTTGTTTTGAGTCTGTTTTAAGGATTCAAAAAAACATGTACAAAAGCTGTTTAAGGGAAGAGAAGTTACTTTATTTCTTCCGCTTTGCCACGATAGGTACTTTTAACGAAGAACAAAACAAAAGTCTAATTATATTAAGCTCGATCTACCGAGGAAGGGAATGCTTAATGGAATGCTTAATGGTTTAAGCCAACAATATAATAAAGAAGGGCTTAAGGTTAGAAGGTTATGACTTTGTAACGCACTCATATAGATAGATACCTGTTATACAGAAACGTTTTTTAAAAACAGTTTCCACATGACAAAATATATTAAACCTAAAGAGTCACACGGAAAAAAATTGAGTATCGTAATCGACAAATCGTGCTTTGATAGGTCCGCCATTACCTAGTTTCAGCTCAAATTTCTATCGATCTGTCGAGTCCCCTCACTCCTGAAAGAGCTGCTGGAAATTGAGCCAATTTAAATGGGCCATTTTTGAGTACAAAACGGCCAAGTGCATGATCATAAAATAATTCGTTCATTCCATGAGAAGCTCTACCGGCACGGGGCCTCATTTAAAAACAGAGGCCTACGACATTTCTAAAGCGTCCTCTTAAGTTGGTTGGATGGAAGCCGAACTTGTTATCTGGTTTTTCTTGCAGAACCAAAAATCATGCGTCACAAAAGGTACGTAAAAATCACAGAAAGGAGTTCGAACGCCAGTGGCACTATCGATCGTGAAGCGATCAGAAAGGAAGTACGACTTGCTATCAACAACCAAGCCTGCAGCGTCCACTGCCCCAAGAGCATTAGGGGAAGACGTGGCAGACCTGGTCAAAGAGGCCCACCCGGCCATCCAGGTAAGCATGGACCACCCGGGCCGGAGGGATTAATGGGACCGAAAGGAAATCAGGGCCTCCAGGGAATTCAGGGACCTCCCGGACCAATGGGCCCTCCTGGAGCTAAGGGTGAGCCTGGTAAATCTATCTCAGCTCCCTCTATTGTGACACCTCGTAAGTCCACAGTTGTAAACGAAACTGGTACAGCCTCGTTTCAATGTGAGGTTGAAGGAAACCCACAGCCTAAAGTCACATGGCTGAAGGATAACTCCAGTCTTCCCGTGAACAAACGAATTATTCCGTCAGATGCAGGTCTTCTGATAAATGACGTAACGTCAAATGATGGTGGAATGTACACCTGTGTAGCAAAAAATATTCTTGGAAGGATGAAGTCATTGGCTGAGCTGTCTGTTCAAGGTGAGAAATAATTATCCTAATTGCACCAAGGAGCCATAGACCTCTCCACCTTCATTACTCCATAATGAACATAAAACAGAAAAATTAACCTTTTATTCTCTCGAACGATATTACCCCTCAAAACCAAAAAAAAATTTTCTTTATCTCCAAGGACAAAGTCGTTTATTTGATTCTTCAACTGAAGGCGTATTCCTCAAGTTCAAATACCAATTCTAGAAATCTAGTCTAATGTCACAGTGCGGGAATTTTGAGACAAGTAGCGGCATAATATTCGAAAGCGGAAGAGTTTTTAAAGAATAGAGGACTTGAAATAAATGCTACTTTACTTTAATTTCTC